TTCGTTTTGATCGTTCGTTTCCATTTGGTTCATCATTTTAAAAAAACTTTCTGACATTGCCCACAATCGTGACTACGTAAATACGAAACGTAAACTAATTTTTGGAGTTTACTCCTTAAGAATCGGTTTTTATATAGGGCGCCCGGTATGAAAAAAAAAAATATGAGGAGTAAAATTTAGTGATCCAATCGCAACCTATCGTGCGTACCTTTTTAGTAATGTGTGTGTGTATTGTATACTAACTCATAACTTGTATACTTCTGTGCAGCCGAATCGTTTCTGAAACACTTTTTGGAGATGAAAGAAACGCTATATTCTTTTCTGCATATCTTCAATCAATCAATGTTGTACATCAATCAATCAACGCGTATACAAATCATGACAATCGATAGAATAGTTAAAGCTTTAAAGCCCAAGTAACAAACTCGCTGACATTCGCACTTATAATAAGTTATTAAAATACATTAGAATATCGTTCAGTAAGATTATCGTTAAGATAAAGAACGCGGTAATTAACACAGGATCATATCAAATGCTTAAGCCGTGTAACACCTCTTCTCTATCTAATCAAAACCCAATATTTTTATGTCTCTAAGGGTACATTAACTAAGATATTTTAATTTAAAAAAAATACTTGCAATGCAGAAACAAACCGGCATAGAAAATTACCTCAGAAGCCTCGACGCCACACCAGCCAGCAACTATTCCCTCTGGAAAGCAACGAAAAAATTAAAGAGGCCCACTATTCACCAATCACCTATTAAAAAACAAAATGGTACCTGGGCAAAAAGTGACAAGGACAAAGCCGAAGTATTTGCGAATCATCTATCAGAAGTATTCACTCCAAATGACGACTGCGGATCCTCGAAGTTGAATGAAGTTTGGAAGATACTTACCCAACCACACCAAATGGACTTGCCTATTGAGAAGATTGCGAAAAGGGAAGTAATTCGAGCCATCAAGAAACTCGATGTTCACAAAGCCCCTGGATATGACCTGATCACGGCGAAAATCTTAAAAGAGCTGCCAGACATAGGATACAAATATCTCACTCAACTATTCAATGCTTGCCTTTGGAGAAATTTTATTCCACCACAATGGAAGGTGGCGGAAATTATTCTAATTCCTAAACCTGGTAAAGACGCTACTGATGTTAAGTCTTACCGTCCAATCAGCCTCCTCCCGACAACGTCCAAACTATTAGAAATCCTGTTCCTGAACCGTCTGGCTCCGGTTATTGCGAAAACTAATTTAATACCTGAACATCAAATTGGCTTCAGATCTTCCCACAGCACGATAGAGCAGGTGCACAGAATCGTAGAAAGAATTAACCATACCTTTGAAAATAAGTTGTGGTGCTCTGCTGCCTTTCTGGATATCTCACAGGCCTTTGATCGTGTCTGGCACGAGGGACTTCTATATAAAATTCTGAGGAACCTACCTCTTAATTACTATCTTTTTGTAAAGTCTTACCTTCATGATAGACATTTTTACGTCAGATATGGTGACAGCGTCACAAATCTACATAAAATAAGGGCCGGGGTCCCTCAGGGAAGTGTGTTGGGTCCAATGCTCTACTTGATTTACACATCTGATCTACCGAACACCGAACACGTTCTGACAGGGACATATGCCGATGATACTGCGGTGTTAGCAGTCCATAATACAGCTGCTGGAGCATCTGCCAAGCTACAAAGAAATCTAGATGAGCTATCCTCCTGGCTAAAAGACTGGCGAATTAAAGCTAATGAAGCTAAATCAGTGCACGTAACATTTAGCCTGCGGCATGAAAAATGTCCCGAAGTAGAGCTCAACCACATCAAAATACCACAGGCTGATGACGTAAGATACTTAGGCGTATATCTAGACCGCAGACTGACGTGGAGAAAACATATTCAAACAAAAAGAAAAGCACTTGATCTGCAACTCTGCAAGCTGCAATGGCTAATGGGTCGAAAGTCGCAACTAAACCTAGCAAACAAGCTTCTTCTCTACAAGAGTTTCTTAAAGCCTATTTGGACCTACGGCATTCAGCTGTGGGGAACAGCATCCTCATCGAATATAGAGATCCTGCAGCGGTTTCAGTCAAAAACTCTGCGAATGATTACTGGAGCACCCTGGTACATCACAAATACGTGTCTCCACAAAGACCTGAAAATTGAATTTGTCAAGGAGGAAATAAAAAACTCCCTACCTAAATACTCAGAAAGATTAAATCGCCATCCAAACCTTCTGGCAAGAGAGCTTATGTCCATTGAGCCAAACTCTACCTTCAAGAGGCTGAAAAGACGTGCTCCTCAAGACCTGTCTGCATGAGGAACTAGCGCCAATTTGGACATATCATTGGATACTGTGCCATACGCGCCCATTGTTTTACTTATTAAAATCCAGCTCAATGTCGTAGAGACAGATTGCAGGACAAAAGACAACGTAAAAAAAAAAAAAAAAAAAACTAAGATATTTTATGCCCTCTTCACAAAGATTCGATCTACTTTCCAATTTATTTTATCGTGATTGGCAAGGTACGTGAAATAATTATGTAAAAAGGAGTACTGCACACTAAGTTATATTTTTTCTCCTCATACATTAATTACAGTTACAAATTACAAGAGTAATTGAAATTTACAATATACGTTTAATTGCTTTTATCTAAGGGACTAGCACTTTATCCGGCATGAGTTGTAAAAAACTATATGCACACAACCGCATAACGTAATAAAACAAAATATTTTTAGGTCAAACACCCGCTCGAACGTCCTTAGAACACCCTACCAAAGATTCATACAAACATTGATTTTATTTATATAGAAATACACTTTGGTAAATACTTAGTGTGTGTAGTCTTCAACGTTACAATAGACGCATGCCTTAGAAGTTAGTGTGATCCTACTCTGGTCATGCTCTTTAATTGGCAGGAGACCATCAATAGACCACCAATAATCGATATATAATCGAATACGAATAATTTCAATTGTTTTTATTTTATAGGGAGCAGACGGATCACCTGACGGTGAGTAACTACCATCACTCATAAACTCCTGCACCTTAACTCCTGCGTTTGTTACTGTAAAGTGCGTCTACAGAGCACGATGTTAAGTCCATATTTAAATTCTCATACTTTGGTTGGGTTGGAACAGAGTCGTTTAAGTCGGCTACGACTAAGACTTTAATATGCAATTGATAATTGCCTGTAGAATTGCGGTCGATAGAAGGTTATATGATTGTTAGATTAAATCTAAGTTGCTCCTTTATTCCTTGATGCCTGTCTACCGAGGAAAGACATGCCCCTCTGGACGAGGGAGATGACTATACAATTATATTATTTTAAACAAAAACAAAAAAAAACATTCCTTGCGTGCTCGAGCCTCCGGGTCTGAGCAGATCCGATGGGAAGAGGCCGGACGGACTGACGCTGGTGCCTTGGAAGAATGGCAAGTGCTTGATCTGGGACGCCACATGCGTCAGCACTGTTGCTACCAGCCATCTGTGTCGCACCGTCCGTGCCCCCTCGAGCGCCGCTGAAGACGCCTGTGTGAGGAAAAGAATAAAGTACGCGCCTTTGGAGACGACTTATTATTTCGTGCCCATAGCAGTTGAGACCTTGGGCAGTTGGAGTACAGACGCTAAGGTGTTTGTACATGAGTTAGGGCGCAGACTGAACGAAGTGACTGGTGACTCCCGCTCAGAGCGGTTCCTGGTGCAGAGGTTTGCCGTGGCCATTCAGTGTGGGAACGCAGCTAGCGTAATGGGCACCTTTGCGCCGGGAGCGACCAGGGGTGGGTTATTTAATATATAGAGAATTTTAGTTAGAACACAATTGTTATTTTTGCCTAAGATTGTTATTAAATTTTAAAAAAATAATTGAAAAATAGATATATATTTGCAGAAAAGGTATTTACTGGTATTTTAAAATAAAATTTACTAAATCGAAAATATTTTATTCTTTTAGTAGGTACATGACTCAAATAAAAATTTGTGCTAACAAAGGTTTTTAATAGGACGTTCATCGATATTACGCATTCATACCATCGACATGGCCCTACACATTTAGCTCCGCGTCATCGACCATCAGATCACTACCAGCGGACTCTAGGATCTAGTTCTACAAAGCTCATCAAGTGCAAGACAATTAACTGACACAGTTGCTGCATATGAGCAGATACAATTTAAGTGAAAAACTTAAATTAAGATGATAAAACTAGTTTTCTAAATTATTTTCTAAATTATTAATGTATTAAAATTTTTGATCATATAGTATTGTATATAATTCATTCATTCCAATATAATAAATGCGAAACTAATGCAGACTGCATTATTTTCGCATTTATTCTATCAGTCTGTTATGTTTAACTTTAAACTTATATCAATTTTAGAAATAATTTTGGCAAAGGACATTTTGTTCCAAAAAAGCAGAAGTAAGTAAGTTAAGTTACATATTTATATATTTAGATGTTGCACCCAGCTTCGACACTTGAATAAATCTAAGTTTTGTCAAGAAATGTCTAAATGTATCAGATATAACCGATATTTTTTTCTGGGTCGAAGTATTTACTCTATGTCTTATTCTGACAAATCACCTCTGTGCAAGTGTGTACAGCTAGATAAAGGCGTAATAACTAAACGCAGTGATGAACATTCCGTGCTATGCAACAATAAATAAAACTAGATACTTAACTTCCTCTACTAATCAGAAACCAGGTCAAAAATTCCATAAATATATAATATTTTTTCCATAAATATCTATTTTTAAATTGTTAAACTCCTTTACATTATATACTAAAGTAATGAATAGATCTATCAAACCTCGAAATTGACAGTTGCCCTTGTCACCTTCATTTGACAGTAGGTAAATCTTGACCATAGACAAAACACTATAAATCTAAGAATCTTGACTGCTTCATCACTGTCATGCAAAATCATTACAAATTGTATCTTTATTATTAATTACATGTAATAATTTAATTATTATTAGTTATCTACTAACTAAAATAGAATAAATAATGGCGTTCAACACCAAAGATGTTGTGTTAAAAGAAGACAGACCAAGAACCTTGTTACTACAAAAACATTCCGACTACTTATCGAAATACGGACTGAACAAAGATGATTACGAATATTGTATGACTGAATACCTACGGATGTCGGGCATATATTGGAGTCTAACAGCTATGGAACTTATGGGGCAGTCTTCTAGGTACATACTCTTATCAGTGACCATGACTTAAGAAAATTATGTTGTTTGTTACCGTGTCGAGAACTATGCGTATTGTTGTAATAATAGGCTATTTTAATTCACACTATTTCACTCAGGTTTTGGTCCATAACACCTTATTTATTTGAAGGAACATATTCTATTTTTAAGTCTTTTGTTTGTGTTTTAGAATGCCCAAAGAAGAGATCATAGACTTCATAACAACCTGTCAAGACAGTGAAAGTGGAGGGATATCGGCTAGTATAGGACATGATCCACACATGCTTTATACTTTGAGTGCTGTGCAGGTTCGGATGGTTTTTGTTGACTGTAAACACCTTTATATACTCCTATTTTTTTAAATTCATTTAATAATTTAATTAATTAATTATTAATTATTTTAATTTAGAAGTTTAGGAACTCTTACTTAAAATTTGCACTTGCAAGGTCAAATGCTCAATTAAAGTAAATCTATAATTTGGTTAATTTGTGTGTTTCTCTCTGATTGATACACAAATGAAGCAGTCCCCTCCACCCTTCTCAGAAAATTGCATAACGGTTATTTTGTAAGTGTAAGACAAAAATACTGCTCCATAACATAAAAATAGTTTATTCTATGATCTATTATGTTTCCACAATTTAATATTGTTTACTGTATAAAAATTCAAGTTTTACTTTACGTTGATTAAACATATTCTGTTGTTTTCAGGTATTAGCTATGTATGACAGGCTGGACGCTATTGATGTTGAAGGAGTAGTAAGATATGTGGTGTCGTTGCAGCAAGAGGATGGTAGCTTTTTTGGTAGGTTCTTGCTAGTTTCTATATTCCATTCTATATTCTTAAATATTTGAATATAGAATGGTCTATGTACAGACATGCCTTTTTATTCAGCATCATCAACAGCTACACTGCTGGACATGGACCTCTCCTGCGAAAGGACATTGTTTTTATTAATTAGTTACCTTTTTTCAGGAGACAAATGGGGTGAAGTGGATGTGAGATTTACCTTCTGCAGTGTCATGTGCCTCTCCTTATTACATAGACTGGATGCGATAGATGTCAATAAGGCAGTAGACTTCATACTCAGTTGTATGAACTTTGACGGTGGCTTTGGATCTAAACCTGGCTCTGAAAGCCATGCTGGTAAATATAGATTATATATAAATGTATATATTGTTGTATGCTTTAGCCACTGCAGCCATATCCCGCATTATTCTAACGTATCATTATTGTTAAATTATTTTGTAATGTTTATGCAAAAGATAAATTTTCATTTGAGTTCACCATTTCATTACATGATTTATTGATGAGTATAAGTAAGAAGGATTGATATTCGTCAACAAGTGTTATAACAACAAACAAACAAACAAGTTTATTGAACCATCAAAGTTACATTTTGATAGGTGCTCTGTCTCCTAAACTAGGTTGATTAACCTGTATCTTAGGAGTCAGTGCCTTCCTTAATTAGAGGTACAATGGTTTTACAATATAAGTTATAGGTAGTGTTTGGAAGATAAATGCAAATAGTGTGATAAATCATTGCAGACTTAAGTGTGAAATGATTTATTATACAGGGGAAGGACTAACACATATTATTTGTATAAACATAAGTTTTAAAAATATCAAACAATTTTTGTGTATGTATTTTCCCAGGATTAATATACTGCTGTGTAGGCACTTTATCAATTTGCAAGAGAATGGATGCTCTTCGAGCAGACGAGCTTGCATGGTGGCTGTGTGAGAGACAATTACCCAGTGGTGGTCTCAATGGCAGACCTGAGAAGCTACCTGACTTATGTTACTCTTGGTAAGATGGTGCTAGAAAATTGACTCAGTAAATATATATTTCGTCTCTATTTTGAAAACCAACTTTACTTACTGCTTTTTAATTTATAAAACTTATAACAATTGATGGATTAAATTATGGTTATAAAAGGTACATAAACATTATGTTGTCTGTATTTCCTACCGTATGTACAGATCGCTATTCTCAAACCTCAGGAACAAAACAAGGTTTTTTGTTTTAAAAGACAACTTCGCATTAGGAATAAGTATATCCTGTGTCGCTAGGGAACTTTACAAACATACTTGAAACGGACACAAAGAACACCCACACTCAGATCAACAATTCGTGGATCACACAAAGTGTATTCCCATGTGGGGATCAGACTTTTTGCCAGTTTTTTTCTTTTTTCCCATTTTTGGAACCTTTTTTTTAGTTTGGTGTTTCTGGCCTGTGGACTTCTTTGGATCTATCCAATACCAAAAAATTTTTTAGTTCGAACCTGAGCTAAGTTCATCCAAACAAACAAGCTTTTCAACTTTATAATATTAGTATAGATTTGAAGTAATTGAAAATGCTCATTCTATTACAGGTGGGTAATGTCATCGCTATCAATGCTTAACAGAATTCACTGGGTGGACAAAAAGAGTCTGGAACAGTTTATTTTAGCCTGTCAAGATGCTGAAACGGGTGGATTTAGCGACCGGCCAGGAGATATACCAGACCCATTTCACACATTATTTGGATTAACCGGACTCTCTTTACTCGGCGATACTAGTATTAAGGCTGTAAATCCCACATACTGCATGCCACAAGAAACAATAGATAGACTGAAGTTGGAACCTCAAGTATTGCACATTTAATATTAAGAGAAATATTTTGTAATTTAAATAATATATTTATGACCTAAATGAACAATCTTAACGGGCATTTTTATTTACCAACCAATTTTTAGACACCCACAATTACACAAATCAGAAGTTTCTGCATGAAGGAATTCTTCTAACCAACTAAGACTTAGTTTTTAGTAAGTAGATCCAAGCTCTAAACTTTATGTAAGTACAGTCCAGTTGAAAAAAAACTCAGTTAAACATTGTTTATAGAACACTTCTGGTATTCTATCACATTACTGTGCTTGAAAGAATCCTGTCCAATATTTATGGTATTTTAAGAATTTTAGAAGACAGTGAGTTTACAAAAGGGCAACACTGGTCTCATCAAGATGTCAAAAAGAAAGTAAACAAACCACAGCTGTAAACATAACCTCAAAACTTACACGAATATATCGAAAAAATTATGAAATATTACAAAAATAGTATACAATATGTCTATGCTATACTGTTTTCAGTTTTTCATATTTAGCACTTGTGTTTATATATTTACTTTGTTCACATATTTAGTTTATTATACTGATGTGATATCTACTACTTATTTTCAAGAAATCCAACCAGCATATGATTATATTATTGGTAAGAACAATATTATATTGTTTTGTGATCCATTTTCCTAATGTATAGACACGTTAAATATTTTTATTTATTGCACTACATACCTACTACACTACTCCCTACATACCTATAAACTTGAAGGATTTTTGTTTTTTATATGTACTTCCTGCATTTTACATTGCACAGGCAGAAATTAATGCCTATTAAATAATATTATCTAAAAGTCAACCTTCCTGAATTTTACATTCCTTTGTGGCTAAAATTTACTTAAAAACAGGCACTTTAAATTCTCTTCATGTATTCATGTCAATCTTTCATTTTATTGTTAATGTCCACTCATCTTAGCAATGCATACAATAGGTACTGCACGATTATACTGTATCAAAACTGAACTGGTTACTTCATTGTAGTTGGCTGCGGTACAGCTGGCTCTCTGATTGCTCACAGATTAGCAACAGAAACCAACCACACATTCATAGTGCTTGAGGCGGGCAGTAAAAGCCATGCATTGCTTGAAGCCCCTGTCCTTGGGCCTTTCTTACATGGCTCAGTATTTGATTGGCAATATCAAACAGTTCCACAGCAAGATGCTTGTCTCGGGATGAAAGATCAAGTAAGGATTATGAAATGAATTGAAACTTAATAACATACTACATAGAGTATTTATTTGATTATATGCCTTATATGATTATATGATTTATTCTTAATTAAATATTTTTTCTAATTGTAAAAAATAATTATGATTCAATTCATTCCATTTGTTTTTTGGTGTGGTGAAAGTTCTGTGTGATTTATGAGTACACATTCCATACCAAATATCATATAGATAGAGTGTAGGTTACTGTGTAAATAATATTTTCTTTTTCAGCAATGCAAATTGGCTTTGGGAAAAATAGTTGGGGGATCTTCAAAGCTCAACAATATGATACATGTTCGAGGTAACATCTCACATTACAGTGGCTGGTTTCACGGCAAATACGACGAAACATATATTAAAAAACAATTTGAATTTATTGAAAAAAATGTTCTAGAATTAAGTAATATACCATACCAAAGTAAGTTGTCTGATGCTGTGTTACAGGCAGCTAAGGAATTAGGATATAATAAAGTAAGTTTAGATTTTGAAAACGGTTTTATGAAAAATATTGTCAGTCAGAAAAATGGGAAGAGGTGGTCTACTTCAGATAAATTAGATATATCGAATCATGTAATTAGTAATGCTTTGGTAGAAAAAGTTATTTTTAGTGGCATCACAGCCAAAGGAGTGATATGTCTTCTATCAAACAAAAGGCGAAGAATTTTAGCTAAAAAAGGTATAATAATTACTGCAGGAGCTATTAATTCTCCTAAAATTTTACAACTTTCTGGAATTGGGCCTAAAAATGTATTAAAACCATTAAACATTCCAGTTATAAAAAATCTTCCAGTAGGAAAAAATCTCCAAGATCACATTGGAACTGGTCTGGATTTAATCTTATTCAACAAGTCTCTTTCTCTTACCCCAATGGATATGATTAACCCTTATAATGTTATACAATATTTGTTCTATGGTGAAGGACCATGGACTACACCAGGTTGTGAAGTCGTTGGTTTTGTATCGACTAAAAAGGAATCTGAACCAGATATACTTTTTATGGTGCTGCCAGTAGGAATATCTTCCGACAGAGGTAGTTTATTAAAACATAATGTCAATATAAATGATGAAGTTTGGAATCAATATTTTTCCAAAACCTTTGACTATCACACGGCAACAATTATGCCCATAATATTACACCCCAAAAGTAAAGGACACGTTTTTATAAATTCTGCAGATCCTCGAAAGCACCCTTTATTAAACCCGAAATACTTGTCCCATAAACACGACAAGGAAATATTAATAAATGGACTTAAAATAGCTATGAAATTTATAAATTCAAATGCGATTAAAAATATGGGAGGATTTGTTAATCCGATTCCTTTTCCAGGATGTGAAAAATTTGATATATTTACGGATTTGTACTTTGATTGCTATATAAAACATTTAACATTAACAACATACCATCCAATAGGAACTTGTTCTATGGGGCTACCAGACTCAAAGGAATCCGTCGTAGATACTTCTTTCCAAGTTTTAGGTGTAAAGAGGTTGTATGTCGCTGATGCATCAGTGTTGCCAACAATGCCTAGTGGTAATATAAATGCTGCAGTTGCGATGATGGCTAGTGTATTCTTTGACACAAATATTGGTAAGAATAATGATATTTCGTTATGTTTTATGAAAGATTTCATAAATGAGTACTTGTTTCGGGTTTGTGCGCACACGTAGTCCTGGTACTATAAAAAATAATAATAATAATATAATAATCTTTATTGTCACAAAAATTATACAGTGCACAAGGGTTCACACTTATAATTTGACACAATTAAATGTATTGTGTTTTAGGTACTTCGGTACGGTATTCGTGCTTTATACATATATTAGCAATCGTGTAAGGTAGGTCGCGGCAAAACTATTAATTCAGTGTCTCTGTAGGCTAGCACCAGGGATCGGCTCTGAGCCCATACCTCTTGCTGTTGATAATGGATACTCTGACATCGGACATACAGGAAGAGGCGCCTTGGTCCATGCTGTTTGCAGATGATATTGTGTTGGTCGGTGAACGGGATGAGGTCCAGAGCAGACTGGAAAAATGGCTAAAAGCTTGGAGAATGACTTGAAAATCAGTAGAACTAAAACTGAGTACATGTCACAGTCGGCTCCAATTTTAATTACCCTCTTTCAAAGTGTTCGAGAGATCGATCGAACTGTACAGCATCGAATCAATACGGGATGAATGAACTGACGGCAGGTAACGGTAACATTTTGTGACCCCAGTTTCCCTTTAAAACAAATTACAAATATATAGAACTAACATCAGACCTGCCGTCCTGTATGGCACTGAAAGTTGGCCCATTAAGAGAACGGATGAGAGGCCTGAACGTAGCCGAAATGCGAATGCAAGGTCCAGGACAAGGTCAGGAATGAGTATATACGATGGATGTTGAAAGTAGCGCCATCGGATGAAAAGTTAAGAGGTTATCTTGGTATGGACTAGAGAGTATGGCTAGGAATGGAGTAAACAGTGAAATGACGAATGATAAAGAAATAAAAATAAAATTGGGATAAGCGTAGTGCAACCTAGTTGGAACGTCAAGCATTTCAAAGGTATATCCTTGTGGCGACTTCCACATGTCATGGAACAAGACCATACTACACCGCCATCTAACAGAGATACACCGAACTATAGAGTAACTGCTAATCCTTTATCGCAATATGAACAATTCTCACGTCAATTAGCATATCGTTACTCCGCGGCCCGTCGGGCATGATCACCCGACTGGTCGGTGGATACTCCCTTTGTGTTGGAGGGATATGACACCCGTTCTTCCACAGTCCTTAATACTTATCGTGGGTGCATTAATTCCCGTACACATACTTAGTTATAGCCATTAGCTTTCTCTCCGTACCCATGTTCCTAACCCAATTTATCTTGTCCCTGTTCTTCGTCTTAAAATGAGAACTGGCGTCAGGCAAGTCATTAAAAGATACTACTATAATATACTTCGTCTGCTTCTCTAAAAATTTACCCCGTTTTTGCATTATTTCGCGTTGATACTCAGCTCCTATTGCATTTTGTTATATGACCCATATAGTTTATCGATAAAAGGGTTATCCAACACTAAAAGAACACATTTTCCATTAGGTGAGCCATCAGCTTGTTTACCCCTCTCTTTAAAAAAAATTAATTAGAACTCGTAGTTCCTGAGATTACCCCGAACATACAAACTCACAAACTTTTCTAGTATAGAAAGATCTATAGATCCCTCACAGTCTTCTGTCTCATTCACTCACTCACTTTTCATATTATGAGGTTAAAAAACAATTTCTGTTTGATTTTGTACAAACAAACATGATTTGATACGAACCTTGTCCTGACTCCTGACAATAACGACAATGCGTTTTTATTTGTTTAGATTTTTTAATATGAAAATAGGTACCTATATGTGAATGCGACAAGCCTAGGGCCCTTCAGTGACAACAAGTAGGAAAAGGTTGTAAAAGGGCTCCCGAGTATGTTTGAGTAAGAACGTTCATTGTACTAACGGAAAAAATTTAAAGTAAAACAAAATGAAAGGCTACAGAAACTAAAGATTAGAGAGACATTACAATCAACGACGGTTTCCAGAGGAATATCATAGGAGTATATTTTTTTTCAAACTTTTATTCTTATTTTACGTTAATAAAAATCAAATATATTTTTAACACTTTATTGAATAATTAAGGACACTTCTAAACATGAAATCATTACATCATTTTGAGCGTCAATTTCAAAACAACCATAGACTGTAGCTATTAAATTTAAAAAAATGTATTTAATTTTTTTAGTAAACCAAAGACATTGTTTTTGGTTTAATATTATGAAACTTAGAGACATAGATAAAAAATATCTAAATTATGAAATTAGCTTTAAATGTAAAATGTAAGTATCAATTTATACTGCTTGCAAATTTGTAGCCGTACATACTACGAGTAGTCGGTAAAGTAAGCGGCAGTATTTTAAACTTCTTCCAGACTAGAGTCAACCACAAAAAAAGAGGTATTGATCACCTTTAATGAAACTTATTGGTGAAAAAAATGTATCTTGAAATAGTCTATATTCTGCTTTTGCTTAACAGTTATTTTCATTGTTACCTTAATGCTGCTAATTCCATAAATCAACTACTCTGACTAAACCTTTCTCTTTCTTCGTAGTCATAAGTAAAGAGGCATTGTGCCTAGAAGAACTTTGGTTGAATGCGAAACAATACGATTGAATTCAAAAATATTCGGTTAAATACCAATTTCTTTAAAAAGCAAACGAAAAACGAACTGTTGAATCACCCATCCTAAAGCAATCTAAATAGGTTAATGTTTTCTATTATTGTACTAGTTTTGTATTGTAATTTATTATTAATTATTAAGAATGTTGTTGTGCCAAAAATCATTATTTACAAATCATTCATTTGATATGAATACAAAATAAATATCGATAAGTATACATAGTCTCACATTTCTATTTATCTAATTCCTAAACACATAATATATACCTATAGTTATATATGACTAGCACATGTTGCTGGCATTTAAAAATACAATTTTTTTCCACAAAGTTTGATTAACAAATCATTTCTTTGAATGCGTCTGCTAAGATAACGTTTTAAAGGTAGACCTATCCTAATACCAAAAACTACGCACTTTGTCCTTCTTTGTGATACTTATAAATGTTTATTTTCAAGTAAGTCTCATAATTAAGGCATTTTAGATTTTAAAACCTTTATTATCAACTTTAAGAAGGTCACAAGTACTTACAGAAACTAGTCGTACGTACACTAAAACTTGAACTTAAAACTTTTTACTCAAAACTATAGATTCAATTCACATTTAAAAATGGGCGTCACTATTTCCCGCCTTTTGGTTGTGGTTAAACGTTACCAATCATTACAAATATGGGGCAATATTAAGGCCAAATATTACACCTACCAAAATTATCTTTATAAGTTATACTTACATACTCGCATTTTAATCATGGTAAGGTAAGTAAGGTAATGGTAGGTGATACTTTACATAACTATAAAATATGTAGATATGTGTATACAATAGGTACATATTTAGAATCGACTTCATATAAGACACTGTAGGACGGCAGAATAACTACAAAGTTCGAAACACTAATATCTCTAAATATTTTAACTTTGTACATAATAATTTAGATAATTAGGTACATTTAAATTAAAAATCCTTATTATCTGACAATCATTTTGATTATATTATAAGTGTAAGTTCGCCTACTGACTGATTGTCTATGTGCTAGATTTCGTGCTTACAACTTAAAAAAACAACAACATACTCTAAATCCGTTAGACATAATAAACTAACATACACAAATAGTAAAATTCAGTTAAAGAAAACTCTTATTCGAATTGTGCGTGGGTATTGGGTATAGATTTGTCTATACTTAGTAAAGTGGTACAAGTGACCTTCAACAAAACAATTTCCAAATCATAACGAATACCAAAATCACGCTTATTAACCAATTTAAAGTTAGAGCTAGGCGGTTAAAAAAATTTTTTAACATTTGAAATGTCACCATTCCAACGTTTAAAACCCAGTGGCCAATCAAGCGATCGTCGACCGATCGCTTGATTAACCGTATTAACTTGGTTAGGATGATATCGAAAATTTCGATTAGTCGAATCAATCGTTGTAAACTAAACGTAAAACAATAATATTAAGAAAAAAATTAGATAATATACAATAGCATCAACATCTAGACAATAATAGACAATATATATTTTATGGTCTGTAATCTTTACATATTACAGAACATAAAATATATATTTATATTATTGTTCTAAATTTAGTTTACAAAAGACGATTTAAATGAGGTAATCTGTGCTCTATCCTTTTTCTCTCTCTTATTGCCTCTCTTAAAAAACAACAAAGCATATAAGTAGGCACGTTGACAAAATGATTACAACACACTTTTATATAGTAAATTATACAGTACCTTAGCTTATTTAGTTACAAACGCAACCTGGACGTAGCTTTAAGCAATTCAAATGTACCTAGCTATAATTCCTAAATTCAGAATTAAATATCTATCATCAAACGCGAAAGTTCGCGTAAGTTCACATTACAATCACAAGATAACATTCAAAAGCGCCTTATGAAATAAAGAGGCAGAATTGCTTTTAAGCAACTTCAAATGCATTTCGAGGAATTTTAATTTGAAAGTTCTTTATAGTCACGCGATAATTAAACTGGATTTTAGATAGATTTATATATACATACCATAACAACGGCGTTAATAAACAAAGAAAAAATGTATTCCATTAAAATTAAAAGCGATACAATTGAGCGATATTGAAGTAGGTTTCTTTCTATACACCAATTAATTACTACTAAGTAAATTATGAACAATACTTAAATACTTTATACCCTTTCTGAGCAACATTCGTTCGAAAAGCAGTTAACTGCTCATAAGTAATACTGGACGGATTATCTGATAATGCTTCATAAGTCATTCAATTTATAATGTTCAAATATAAAATATTGCCACACTCTTACTAATTAAAAATAATTTATACACACTTTGTGCATTATAATACTGAGCGGTAAAAACGTCTTTGTCAGCAAATGTACATACATAAGAACTTGAGCGTGTTATGTCTCTAATGTAACATGGAAAAAAAGTCATTGAGGAGTTAAAAATAACAGTTACGTTATTTTCAAGTTTCAAAATTATCATTTTTAATTGTTCCAACCTTTAACACAAAACGATCTGTCGATAGCAAACTACTACTACGACTTGTTAATTCATATAAATTTTAAGAAATAATTTTGTACATACAAGACAACAAACAAAAAACCATTAAGAATAATTAGAACTGTACACAACTCAAAAATAAATAAATTATATTTATGCACAAGACTAGGGACGTTACTATACCTACTTAATAATAATTGTGCAATCCAGTAATACTGTATAGACCAACAACAGAATAAGTTCTTGACGAGTGCCTAATTTATTAGACACTTTTCTGAGCTTTCATTGAGCAAACCTATTACTTTTGAGACAAATATTTGTTATTTTTATGTATTTATATACCTTCATGTGTACCTAAAAAGATATATATATATATATATATAATATTAATAGTATTAATACTAATTTTTTACATAACACAGTAAATTGCGGTACCGTTTTTCAATAACAGTAAAAATTTCACGCGCAAAACCGAAATTAATAAAATAGCAGTTTTTGAGAACTTAGAATCACGCAAAGTGCAATAATTTTCATCATCTTCTCTTGATGAGTTTGAAACATTTTAAATGTACGAAAATATATAGCAGCAGAACAAGTTTGTTGATCTGTAGTTCATAAACGGTTCTAGCTAAAACGAGGTTTAGGTTTAAATCAATTATTATAAAAAAATATTATTAATATTATTATAAATAGGTACGATGAGATAATACTGGGTGTTTCTCTCTTACGTTCTATAAATGTAAATATTAATTACAATAATTAAAGTACCTATTCTTTCGCTTAAGCCTTTCTTGACTAGACTAATTTCTTAGAAACTATGTTCACTTTGAAGGAATAAAAACGTCTGTTTGCCTCGACAATACTTTTACTTGAAATAGGTACCTACGCCAATTCATTCGTACCAAAGGATTAATATGTTCCTTCGGAGACAGCATCCTTTCCACATTTTCTATAATAATTATTCTAATAACACAGAAACTAAAAACCAAACTGTACAATTCTGCACCGAAATAATCTACAGGTTTTTAAATTATAAAATCCAAAGTCTTACTTGAAACAAGAATCCAGATAGTTATCCAACATATCCAACTGAAGATCGTCCCAATCAGTTGGATTCAGAAGTAGAGATGACAAATCATCTTCTGGAATCAGAGGAGGTGGTATAGCAGGTTCCACGATCACGTTTGCCCCGATATTTGTTTCTAATTCTATCTCAGGAAGAGGCTGAATACTACCGAGGTTAAAATCAGGGAGATGCAACGTCACAGTTTGATCTAAATCAGCAGTAATTCCTTCGATAGCGTTGGTCTGAGGTATATTTGCAACAGCAATTTTCTCCTCGGTGATTTTATCCTTTGGTTGGGCTTTCTTCTTTTTGTGAGGTCTGTTCGAAATCCGTTTAGTACCTTCCAAGTGAGCTAGATCCAGTTTCCAGAAACCTCCTTTGCCTGGCTCATGTTTAGATCGAGCCACTTTGACAAACACTTTGTTTAATGATAGATTGTGTCGTATGGAGTTCTGGAAACAAATATTTACTAAATTAAAGTTATTTCCACTTTTTCATACTTACCACTATTTATATACTTTTTTCAAATCGTTAAATTATTTTTAAGAATATCGCGAGTTTGAAATGTTCAAGGTAAATATAATTTATATTTACCTTGAACATTAGTCAGATACCGTATTTTTAAAGTAAGACAATCCGCGCTTTGCCGTAATCACTATGATATTGCAATCACTGAGATAATGTCCAATAAAACGTATCAATCACACACTCGAGTCCCTATTTATGAATCCAATTAGACCTAATCTTATCGCACTGTTCGCAGATCACACAGTTATTAAATCATGAGGGGTTCCCTACTGAACTGATAACACTCACCTGCCAGGTAGGATCTGCATTCCTGTAATACTTGAAGTTTTCTCTTATCCATGAATATATTGCAGAAAGGGTCATTTTATCGTTGTTGTATCTCATCGCCATACATATCAAGGTGCTGTATGAGTACGGCGGCTTCTTCTCACTGTCTGTCTTATATTCGTGTTTATTCTCCGTGAAATCCTTCTGACATTTTGCTATTGTCTGGTTAAACTTCTGCAGCCTCGTGTTCTGCGGCTCAGTCTTCACTTGTGGGTTTGGTGACATGGGTGGAATCGGAAATTGCGGCACTGACATTATATTCGTAATATTTTGTAGCCATGTCAAATTAGTTAAATCTGTATCTGGTTCTTCGTCGACAGCCATTTTGTGCGGCTTGTGTTTGCTTCGTATCTTTTTAGAAATATCTTCCTTCTCTGTACTAACACAACTTTCTGTTTGAATTCCATCGATTTCTATGTCATCTTGGTTAATAGTGTAAGTCTCTGGCTGTTCATAAATGTATTCTATCTCAACAGTATGAGATGATTCCGGCACGGTATGGTCCACTGCGAAGTATGTAGCTCCGCACTGATCACCAGCATCTCCGTAGAAATGGAGCGACGTTGCGTCCAGCATCTCGCCGGACGCCGGAGACAACCCTGACGTTATATGCATCGTAGCTAACTACATCGCTCGCCCTGAAAATATTACGACAATGAAACCGATGAGTCACAAGTTGATGATTCAGCTAATATATGAGAATCGACAAGGATTTACAGAATTGTAATTTTACAATGAAACTATTAATGGAAGCGATAGTGGTGAGTTACCTGGAGAAATGGTGAGACGTGGTGGACGTTGTTCAAGATGCCGGACGGTGATCGATCGACTGCGGAGGGTGGCGGGTGTGACGTTGTGACGGTCAGCTCACCCCCGCTGGTGGTGGCGTCGCGTCGGCGTGGTGTTCGCGTGGAGAATGCGTGTGTGCGCGCTGAGCAACGGTGCGCCCGCTAGTGGGCAGGTGCGCGCCCCATTGTACACTGTATGCCGCCAAACAGGTGTGTGCGACCGATCGATATTTTTCCGCCCGCAAGACAACGTGGGGCGGCCAGCCCGCATCGCTGATAGCTCCGGACAATTAGTCACGGTTATCGGACACAGGACCGAACCAGCGTAGCAGTAGGCACATGCCGGCTGAGGCTACAACCAGCTGTTGTGTTAGACGAAGTAAAACAAAATAATCGCTTTCTTCATAGATTAGTAATTAATAATTTCCTACATTGTTCAATAGATGACAAAATATTTTCGACTATTGCTGGTATTGTTTTGCGCAAAGCATTGGTGTTTCTTTATTACAAGTACGGGCCTGGCTTGATTCTTGAGCCGTATCGCCACGAGCCACAGTTCTGCGGGTACTTTCGTAACAATACATGTTTTCTATTAAAGCAATTATATGTTTAAGGTTAGGGATAAGAATGTTAAAAATCTAAAACTGCACTTCCAGAATCAAGTACATTTTCAATGTTAGTAAATAAGGATCTTCGTTACCTGATCGGTACCGATCATTGGCGTTTATGGCGTACTATACATATGGTGATAAACCTAAGTCGACAGACTATATATTATATTGCCTTTGACATTAAGATTTCTGTATTATAAATGAATATACATATACCAGCACACTTAACAGACTTGCTGTTGATTATTAATATATTTGTCAGTTATTTTTAACAATAAATAAGCAATTTAGCCGCGCTAAGCTGTGTCACATTGTGGTGCATTGACGAGAAACGCATTAACGCATTGATCATAAATTTTGAACAAAGCATGTTGCCTTTGAGGCGACAATACATGTCGTATTGTCGCCTCAAAGGAAACATGTATATTGTGTCAAAATTTGAGTTCAATCAGTGCAGAACTTTTTGAAGCGTACACAAACCAACTTAACATTTTATATTGTACTAGTATGAGACCCGCGGTGTTACCCGCGTTTGTTGTTATAACCGCGGGCAACGCCGCGAGACGAAGCTAGTCTAAAAAATGTTATCCTTATGTCATCAGCTATCTGCCAGTGAAAGTCCCGTCGAAATCGGTCCAGCCGTTCCAGAGATTACCCGGAACAGACAGACAGACAGACAGACAAAAATTGTAAAAAATGTTATATTGGCATATGTACCGTGTAAACATTCATATGCATTTAGTAAAAAGCGGTTATTTTAATATTATAAACAGACACTCCAATTTTATTTATTTGTATAGATATTTATATAGATATAATATTCTGTTACAACTTTAAGATGGGGATAGCGCCTCAAAACGCAAATGAACTAGACGTATTTTTAAACATATATGTGTGTGTACCTATAGATGACGTAGTGAAGTATTGGACCGGACCAAACACTAAATTAAAGCAAGTGCTTGTCTAATGTCAAGTTACCCCTGTTTACTTTGGCCCTGTAATCGGTTTGTACATACTCAGTTATAACTAGCACCCTCTTCATAACATAAGGTGTTACATCTTTGATAATAAAACATTATTTGACGCGATTTAAAGAATAACACAAATAGTAGTAACTAATTGTGTTATTCTTTAAAAAAATATAAAATAAATATACAGTGTTTAAAAAAATGATCACATTGTAGTAACCTATGCGTTCTCCCCTCGGATACCTCCGCCGTCACCAGGTACTAGAAGCCGGTTAACCAGATATACCCTAGAAAGCTTATAGTATACCCTAAAGATAAAGGAAAAGAAGATCATTTGGCCTGATGGCAAGTAACTACCGCCGCTCATAGTCCACCTGCAATTCAAGAGTTAGAACTAAGTCCCAAGTCAAGACTAGGATTCCCCCATCCCTGTGCGATTGGATGGGGGGGGGGATTCTTAAGACCTTTTTATGGCCCTGGTTTCACTCCTGTTGAGCCTACCTATTTGTATCAACCAAAAAATTAAACATACCTCTGTTGTGTTTTATATTATTTAAATTGCATCCGTATGTAGTACAATCATATATAATATAATACACTGTCAGTGTGGTGACGGATTAAGAATTCAGTGTCACCACCCCTATTCATCTCGTGGGTGTCGTAAGAGCCGACTAAGTGAGAAATCTAGGCAGAACAACAGCACTGCGAGAGAAGAAAAACTTGATACAAACCCTATATCAACCCGTCTGGCCAGCGTGGTATAGTAGGCCAAAATCTCTTTTTGTAAGGAGAGGCAAGTCCAGCAATGGACTATTAAAGGCTGTTGATGTGATGATGATATAATACAATCTATGCTGAGTTTAATTCTAGATAACGACGTGTTTGTCCTGTACTACTGTCTATGTTTAAAGTGGCGATGGGCTGGCCATGTGGTACGTTACAATGATAAGCGATGATGGGTCACCCTTACCATTTAGGGGTATGAAAAATAGATGTTGGGCGATTCTCAGACCTACCCGATGTGCACACAAAATTTCATAAAAATCGGTCCAGCCGTTTCGGAGGAGTATGGTAACTAACATTGTGACACGAGAATTTTATATATAAGATGTAATACTGAGGTGATGGGAAATAAAAAGGCTTTATTATTATTATTATTAACGACGTGTTTAAAGCCTAGAAAATAATTCAGGTCGCTTAAAACCTCGAGGTGTTACCCGAAGCATGTGATTAGAGTAATTCGAAATCACTGACTTAAGCTAGCTTGACATCTAAATTGTTCGTTAGGTACATCGTTTATGTAAACACGATTAGTGATGTTAAGCCCCCTTTAAATCCTGCTTAAAGCGGGCGTTGACAGCCGAGTTCGTTCCCCTTGTCCTTGAAAAATAACAATAAAGACGAGTCTCCTGGGACCGGTTTCATACGTGATTTTGGAGTGTTAATACTAATTTTCTGATTTGGTGATAGTGTTAATTGCCCCTCCTATTTGAACAACTAATATTTAAGGCAATAATTAAACAAGGTAGGGTACAGTAAATGTCAAAATTAAAAATAAAAGTAGGCCAACTTCAACTTCTTATAATTTGTTACTTTAAGATGAACTATTTACTGTAGTCCTCTATTTTTACAAGGATATAATTTGATCGAATGGGAAGTTTTTAATTTGAAAGGCCAACACAAACCTTTCCCCACACAATAATCAAATCCACACTAATATTATAAATAAGAAAGGGTGTCTGTCTGTCTGTCTGTCTATCTGTCTATTTCAGTCTCGGCAAAGGACATATGATAGTTTTTATCCCAGAAATCACCCTTTAAGTTGATGAAAAGGGGGGAGGAAGTTTGTATGGGAAATCAATAATTGCTGAACCGATTTTAATGAAATTTGGCATGGAGAGACCAAAATTCTTGAGGATGGACATAGGCTACTTTTTACGCGGGCAAAAACTAGTGGGTTAATATGACAGATTTCTGAGGTAACCAAAAAAAGGTCAGGTTTTTCGTTTAGAGAACAGAATCGACAATTCGGGATGAGGATGGTAGAAGGAGTCATGAGTTTTTTTTTCGATTCCTTTTCCTCTAAGCTCTCATATTTATTTAGCAACTATCGGTAATCGTTATCTGCTAGATAACGATTTCGCCTATTTGTAATACGTTATTATTTGTTATTAATTGGCATACGTATAAGAATTTTACCTTCAATAATGCTGTTCTTGGGACATTAGGGTTGTGTTGACCCTTAGTTAAAAAAAAAGATGATTATTAAAGTTTTTTTTTGAATGAAGACATTTGACTTTTGATTTTAGAACACACAGATTGAACACACAGATCTTGTTTACCTTCTTACCGTTGGAAGAACCATGTTTCTATTTCAAAACTTTGTTGTAGGTATAAGAAAATAAAGTAATGCCTTAACTAATGGATTGAACGTAGCCCTAGTTTAGGACTGAGATCGTTGACCTCTGAGAATTGGTGAGTCGATTAAATTAGTGAGCTCCAGGGTCGTTTGTCGCGTGAACTTGTTTGATTATTACAAACACATGTATGTTCAAATATAATAAATCTAAAGAGCTTTCTTTTTTATAACGCTAGATAATATTATAAAGATGAGCAAAATGAAACTGACGAGGATTTGCTATAAGAAACTAGTTTCGCCAACTTCAAACAAATAAAAATGACAACGTTTTCGTAGAGAAGAAGTCTGGATTTAATAAATGACATTACTTTTTGGCCAATAACTTTACCCGTTTTCTTTAATAAAATCTCCCGTGGCTCAACGCGCTATTTTGAAAGTTTTTTTAATTCTTATTTTGTCGCACCCTTTCGGCCTTTCTCAAATGATGCCCTTGCCAGCAATTTTTTTTTACATATAATGAAGGGATGTAAACAGGAGTTGCACCTAGTTGCGACTGGTACGAATGCGTTCCGGTACGTGCGGACAGCTGACAAATGACAATATGGCTGCGGGCGAGGGTAAAAGCGCGGGAGAATGGTATGTTGTGTAGAAATCTTTATTTTATACTTTATGGGCTATTGGAAATGGCTCGTGCCCTTTTAATCGCTTTAATTTTTAAATGAATAGGCATACACAAAACAGTTCATGACTTCTTTCCCGTCTTTATTATTATTTTAATTGATACATTGTCATTGGCTTTTGGAATACATAAATACATAAAGATACACAAGTAGAAAACCCTAAGGTACATGTTAATTCAACAGGTCTAATCATTAAATTATTCCTCATA